AATTAGGTATTTATTAAATCCGAAAATTCATATTAATTTAATTAAATATCCTTTAAATGTCGTAAGAAATGGTTAAGGGAAAATGCCGAGTTTAGCAATTAGACTTAGGAAATTTGATTTTTAAATTATGTGACACATCTCTTTTGTAAACTGTTTAGGTTATGACCATTAAAGTTTAAGGTGAAAGAATTTGGTCGAAGCGACGTGTCGTACTAGGTTTGAGGTAGGTGTTCAGATCCCAGTTAAGTTTATAAGTGCTTTAACATTTTTATGCTTAATGAAATTTTATGTCTTTATATTTTTATTGTTAATTAATATTTTAAAATTCATTGATTCTGCAAATTTATGTCTTTATATTTTTGCATTAACTGTTGGAAAGCATGTGAACCATATGAAAAGCATTTGGGCATGAAAATGTATGAGGCTTATGAAAGGAAATTGAATGAAAATGAAAAGATTTAAATGGAATAAAATTTTCATGTTGCATGTTGATCCGGAAGTGCCAAAATGGTAATGGTAAAGGGGCTTACAAAAGCCAAATGATAATGGAGCTTGTAAAAGCCAAATGGTAAAAGAAATGGCCAAAATTTGACTGCGTACCTAATCAGTACGAAAAAGGGTACTTCTGGGATGGGTGTATACATATGACATAAGCATTTTTGTATCTGAATTACATATGAATAAGATGAAAGAAAAGAATTATGAAAGGAATGAAATGTTAATGAAATGATTAAAGAAAAGTAAGATTGAAAGTTTTAAGAATTTTGACTTGTAAGATGTTATGAATTAGTTTCTAATTTTAAAATGTTTTATTTATGCATCTTATGAATTTAACTGAGCTATGAATTACCTGCTGAGCGTTGGCTCATTCCTCGTTTAAAAATCTTTTTCAGGAGAGAAGTGATGGTGGCTCGACGACCTTATATGTATCGTCATAGGGGACCTCAAGATGAAAGGTTCTTTTTTGTGTTTTCAGTTTGAGTCTTTGTGTTTGTTTCATTGTAGTTCGTGAGTTTGAGGTTTATGTAATTGTGAAAGTTTATGTTATGATGATGAGTTTGAAAGTTTTATTTGTTATAAGACAGTTGATTAGTTTGTAACATTTGAGTTTTAAGTTTATTAGTGGCTCTTTCATGTATTTTGGATGATATTTATATTCTGACTTTAAGTTTTAAATGAAAATATGTTATGTATTATGCTCTTTCATATGACCGACTGTTCCCGCCCCGATATAATCGGGCTAGCCGGGCCGGGTCATGATAAGAGTGGTATCAGAGCAAAGGTTTAATAATGATCAATGAAAAGCCTATAGGATGATTAATTGAGTCTTAGAATGTATAGGAAGTATAATTTTATGATTATTTGTGACTTATGATTGAAGTGTTTTATCTCAGGAGTATGGATCATGAGCAGAATGCCACTGATGACATTAATATGGAGGAAGGGAGGGAGCTACCAAAAATAACTGAACCTCAGAGGAACAATAGTATGGAGTCATTCACTCAGATGATGGAAGCGATGACTCAGATGATTAGAACTTCCCAAAATCAGGCCAGTGGCAGAGGAAGTGGAGGTTGACCTATGGATAAGAGCCTGAAGTTGTTTCAGGATATGAAGCCTTCATTATTCTCAAGTTGTGGATCTATAGAAGCTGAGGACTGGCTAATGCGGATTGAGAAGATTCTTGAGGGCATGTCTTGCCCAGAGTACAGGAGAGTTACACTGGTTGCTTATGCTTTTGATGGCGAGGCTGAGAGGTGGTGGAGGAGTCAGTTAGAAGAAACTTTTAGAGGAAGACAAAGCAGCCAAGTTTCCTGGGAGGAGTTTGTAAAGGCATTCAGAGATTGGTATGTACCTGCGACCGCCAGGAGACATATGCAGGATAAGTTCAACAGATTGATTCAGGGAGATCGATCTGTTTCTCAGTATGAGGCGAAATTTACAATGTTATCCAGGTATGCCTCATATCTGATACCCAATGCTGAAGAGAAGTGCAACCGTTTTCTGAATGGGTTAAAGGACATGATAAGACAGCCTCTTGTGCCTTTTAGAATTGAGGATTATCCCACTTTGGTGGAAAGAGCCAGAAGGATTGAGATAGACATGCTGACAATTCAGAAGAGGAGGGATTTTCAAAAGAGAAAGATGGAGGGCAGGTCAAAGCCTTCCCAAATGGCACAGTCTTCTCAGTCAGGGGTTTCTATTTGGAAGAAACCCAGATCCAGTGGTTCTAATAGCAGTGCTTTAACTGCTACCTTGTGCAGTAAGTGTGGGAGAACGCATAAGGGAGAGTGCCTCTCAGGCACTAATACTTGTTACTGGTGCCATCAACCTGGGCACATGACGAAGTCTTGTCCTCTTTTGGGTCAGCTATCTATTATAGAGGTGAGGTCAGTCAACAATACTCAGAGGACTGCTGGTAGACCTAGAGCTGTGTAGTCTACTGCTTCTGTTCCTTCTCAAGGTCAGACTCGTCAGAATGTTCAGCCTCGAGTCTATGGATTGTCCCAACAAGAAGCTAAGGGGTCTCCTGATGTGGTTACAGGTATGTAATTAAATTTATTGCAATGAATATTTTTTTTTATTATGAATAAGAAATAAACAATGAATAAAAATGAAAGGAACAATTAATGAATGACATGTTTTGTAAATGAATTCTGTAACTTTTCATGTTTAGGGACAATCTTAATGTGCGATAGACCCGTTAGAATCCTTTTTGATACTGAAGCGTCACACTCCTTTGTTTTAGAAGAGTTTGTTAGATCTGCTAATTTGCTTCCTACAGTTATGATTAAATCACTATCAGTTTTGATGTCTAATGGAAATCAGTTGGAAGCTAAGCAGAGATGTATAGTGAAGTTGAGGATTTGTTAAGAAATTTGAGGCTGATCTGATCGTCTTACCTCTATCTGAGTTTGATGCAATTTTAAGCATGGACTGGTTATCTTGCCATTTCATGACTATAGATTGTAACAAGAAGGAGGTAAAGTTCTATATGCCAGGAGAGGAGAAATTCAAATTTCAAGGGGATAGAGGAGTAGCTGCAGTGATTGTGTCGTCCTTGAAGGCCTTTCAGATGTTAAAGAAAGGGTATGAAGGCTTCTTGGCCTATGTTAAGGAAGAGAAAAAGGAGGAAAGAGAGCTGAAGGATATTCCAATTGTTCAAAAATTTCCAGAAGTGTTTGCAGATGATTTACCTGGTTTACCTCCAAGTAGAGAAATAGATTTCTCTATTGAGTTAGTGGCAGGAGCTGAATATCTTGCTAAGGCTCCTTACAGAATGACAATTAAGGAGCTTAAGGAATTGAAGGAGCAATTGCAAGAGTTGCTTGAGAAGGGATTCATCAGGCCTAGTACTTCCCCTTGGGGTGCTCCTGTACTGTTTGTGAAGAAGAAGGATGGAAGTCTAAGGCTTTGTATAGATTACAGAGAGCTGAACAAGTTGACAGTGAAGAATAAGTACCCTCTCCCAAGAATAGATGACTTGTTTGATCAGTTGGAAGGTGCCTCAGTATTTTCAAAATTGATTTGAGGTCAGGGTATCACCAGCTCAGGATTAGAAGAGGATTTGGGTTTGCTAAAAGTCCAAAATGCCCTTACTCTATTTCGGCCTTAATACTTATGAGGGGTAAAATCGGCATTTAAAGACTTGGATTAGTTTTGATTCCTAATATAGGCAAAAATTTGGTATAAGTTTTATATGCCAAAACGATCAGAATTTTGCGTAAGATTTTCTAAAATTATTTTCGTTGAATTTCGTTAACATTAAAAATCTCACTTAAACCTCGTCGCGGCGCTTTGAAAAGCGTGCGACGCCATAAAATAGTATTTTCGGGTTTTACAAATCTCCCCTCCTAATAAAAATTTCGTCTTAGAAATTTAAAAGAAAAACTTAACAGTAAAGCCATACCTTAGCTAAACTAATGAGGGTAGTTCTCCCTCATTTCTGATTCTTTCGCCCAAGTGACATCTTTTTCTGAACTGTGCTTCCAGAGCACCTTAACAAAAGGAATCGCTCTGCTCCTCAACTGCTTAATCTCATAATCAGGAATCTTCTCTGATTCATTTACAAAAGTCAAATCTGGCTGAATATCTACCACTTAAGTACTAATCCTCTGATCCTCTGAGCCTCATCTGAAATATATTTCTTTAAGAAGGAAATATGAAACACATTATGCACTCCACTCATATGTGCTGGTAGAATCAACCTATAAGCCACTTTTCCAATCCATTCTGAAATCTCAAAAGGACCTACAAATCTTGAACTCAGCTTTCCCACTTTATCAAATCTCTTCACTCCATTCATTGGACTGACTTTAAGAAACACAAACTCTCCAACATCAAACTCAACTGATCGGTGCTTGACATCATAGTATTTCTTATGTCTATCCTGCACTGCCCTCAATCTATCTCTAATCAACCTGATATTTTCTGTAGCATCATCAACCAGATCAGCACCAATTATCTTCATTTCTCCTGTCTCAGCTCAATTTAAAGGTGTCCTACACCTTCTCCCATGCAAAGCCTCATAAGGAGCCATTCCTATACTTGCTTGAAAGCTGTTATTGTAGGCAAACTCAATCAAAGGTACATATGCCTCCCGCTTACCATTAAAATCCATAACACATAACCTGAGTAAATCTTCTAAGGTCTAGAAGGTTCTTTCTAACTGCCCATCTGTCTGTGGGTGGAAAGCTGTACTAAAGGTAAGTCTGGTACCTAAAGCTTCTTGAACCTTCTTCCAAAATCTGGAAGTGAATCTCCCATCTCAGTCTAACATTATAGTCTTAGGTACCTCATACAATCTGACAATCTGATCAATATACAAGCTTGTCAATTTTTCAACTAGATCAGACTGTTTGATAGGTATAAACTATGCAGACTTAGTCAACCTATCAATAATCACTCATAAAGCATCACATCCTCTTCTGGATCTGGGTAAACCAACCACGAAATCCATAGCAATGTTTTCCCATTTCCACTCTGGTATGGGTAAGGGCTGTAGATATCCTCCTGGCTTCTGATGTTCAGCCTTAACCATCTGACATGAAATACATTTGGATACTGTATCTGCTACACTTCTCTTCATTCCTGCCACCAAAACACCTCCTTCAAATCCTGATACATCTTATTACTGCCTGGATGAATGATGTAACTAGAGTAGTGAGCTTCTTGAAAGACTTCTTTCCTCAAATCATCCACATTTGGAATGCACAATCTGCCCTTATATCGAAGCAATCCTTCACCATCAGGCTTAAAATCTTTAATGTGTCCCACACTGACCATATCCAGTATCTTCTTAAAATCTGCATCAAGTGGTAAGACTTCTCTTACCCTTTATGGAAAGGTTGATGTAATTATAGTCTGATTCAACCTTATAATTTCTGCATCATTGGGTTGAACCACTGAAATCTCCAACTTCTCCAAATCCTTTATCAACTCTTGCTGCTGTGTAATCATCCAGTTTGCACTGCCTGAATTCTTTCTGCTCAAAGCATCAGCAACCACATTTGCTTTGCCCGGGTGATACTAAATATCCGACTCATAATCCTTAATGAGTTCTAGCCATCTCCTCTGCCTTAAATTCAGTTTCTTCTGAGTGAAGATATACTTCAAACTCTGGTGGTCAGTGAAAACCTTACACCGAACTCCGTACAAGTAATGCCTCCAGATCTTCAAGGCAAAAATTACTGCAGCTAATTCCAGATCGTGGGTTGGATAGTTCCTCTCATGATTCTTCAATTGCCTAGAAGCATAGGCAATGACTCTCCCATTCTGCATTAGTACACAACCCAACCCTTTATGTGAGACATCACTGTAAAGCTGAAACCCATCTGTCCCTGAGGGAATAGTCAACACTGGAGCAGTTATCAAATACTGCTTCAACCTCTGAAAAGCTTCCTCACACTGAGCTGTCCAATCAAACTTCACTGCTTTCTGAGTCAATCTGGATAGTGGCATAGTTATTTATGAAAATCCCTCAACAAATCTCATGTAGTAGCCTGCCAATCCAAAAAAGCTCCTAACCTTAGTCACTGTAACTGGTCTTGGCTAGTCTGCTATTGATTGCTCCTTATGCTGATCTACAGATATCTTCCCATCAGAGATCACATGCCCAAAAAATTTCACTCTTCAGCCAAAACTCACACTTGGAGAACTTAGCATACAAGTCATTATCTTTTAAGATATGCAACACTGACCTTAAATGATTTGTATGCATCCTTTCATCTGGGGAGTACACAAGTATGTCATCTATGAATACAATCACGAATAGTTCTAAAGAAGACTTGAAAATTCTATTCATTAGATCCATAAACACTGCAGGGGCATTTGTTAAGCCAAAAGGCATCACTGTAAATTCAAAATGCTCATATCTAGTACTGAAAGCAGTCTTTGCAACATCTTCCTTTCTAATCTTGAGCTGGTGATACCCTGACCTCAAATCAATTTTAGAAAACACTGAAGCATCCTCCAACTGATCAAACAAATCATCTATCCTTGGGAGAGGATACTTATTCTTCACTGTCAACTTGTTCAGCTCTCTGTAATCTATACAAAACCTTAGGCTTCCATCCTTCTTCTTCACAAACAGTACAGGAGCACCCCAAGG